ATTGTGGTGATGAAGTTACTTTGCAGACTGGCAGAATATGTTACTGATTTCAGTGACTAAAATGATGGAAACAACAGTCTGGGTTTGAGAAGCCTGAACTTTAGTGAGAAAAACAGAAGTCCTCAACAGTCCACTCGGCAATGCTGTTTTGTCTGATTCTAATTAATCTGTCACTACAAACATGACCTAGTTACCACAGTACAAATGTCAGCTTGTAATAGCTTTTCCCTAGAGTCCTCCTTAACTAGCGTTTCCCATTTACATTTACTCATTCAATCATGAAGAGTAGTTAATTAGCTCCATCTACTGCTGCATGGAATGAATTGTACCAGCAGCGCCAGTTCTCCAGTAGCCTCTTCAGATCACACTCGCGGTGGTGGTTTACGTGCTCAGCTGCACCACACCACTGGCAAGAACTGCTAGCGGAAAGCAGGTTTACATCTTTCTGTTTCTTCTTCTGTCATCAGCTTTACTGTTACGTAGGTTTTCTTTAATCTCTAATCTTTTTGGTAATGTCTTTTTGAATTGCAGAGTGACAATGTGGGGCATTTTTTTTTTTAATATGTTTTCCCATGCCAGAAGACATTCTCTTAAAATAATTAGCACAAACAATGAAGAGACTTGCAAGGAAGGAAATGGAGCTATTTAAGTTACTGAGGCACTGATAATAAAGAATGCCACTGGGCTGAAACTGGGTACTCAGATCAACAGATGGATGCCTTTATCTTACACTTGCCATATGTGTTGACTGGAGTATTCAGATGGGGCATTTATTTGGTTTTTTTAAAATGTGTTTTAAAATAAATGTTCTGATATTCATTTAAAATGCCTTCTTAGTTTATGAGAAAGCTAATGAATGCCTGTTCTAAAATGTCATCTTTCTTAGCATTTCCCTTTTGATTTAGGTGGAATATTTCACATAGTCTCAAAACATCCCAACTAGCATCCCAGTAAGCAGGCTGCATGAGATACTTACCTATGACATAGCTGAATTAGAGAAACACACCAGATAATTACCAAAGTGGAAAGGTAGCAAGGATTAATACTTTCAAATGTCTAAAATCTCCAAAAACTTTTATTATTATCTTTAAAGAAATACCTCAGCAAAGGATTTTATTTTCGGAATAGATTTAATTTTCTGTTAAGAAAAGAAAATAATACCAAAGAGCTTATTAAGGTCAGAGATGTTTTTCTAGCCTGCACAGTGCTTAGACACCTGTGAGATGGCTGCTAAATCAAGAGACCAGGCTTGCAGGTAGAATCATAGAATCGTTTGGGTTGGAAAAGACCTTTATGATCATCCAGTCCAACCATTAACCAAACACTACCAAGTCCACCACTAAACCAATTAAGGGTAGAGTAGTAATTTCATGTTTCCTGGCTTGGTGGCTGGATTATTTTTCAATGAAAGTAAAAACTAGGAATCATTAAGGTTGGAAAGGATCTCTAAGATCATCAGTCCAATCATCAACCCAACACCACCATGTCCACTAAACCATGTCCCAAAGTGCCACATCTATCCGTTTTTTGAACACTTCCAGGGATGGTGACTCCACCACCTCTCTGGGCAGCCTCTTCCAATGCTTGACTACCCTTTCTGTGAAGAAATTTTTCCTAATATCCAATCTAAACCTCCTCTGATGCAACTTGAGGCCATTTCTCCTCATCCTATCAGTAACTACTTGGGAGAAGAGACCAACACCCACCTCACTAAAACCTCCTTTCAGGTAGTTGTAGAGAGCAATAAGGTCTCCCCTCAGCCTCCTCTTCTCCAGGCTAAACAACCCCAGTTCCCTCAGCCTCTCCTCATACGACTTGTGCTCCAGACCCTTCACCAGTTTTGTTGCCCTTCTCTGGACACGCTCCAGCACCTCAATGTCCTTCTTGTACTGAGGGTCCCAAAACTGGACACAGTATTCCAGGTG